GGGGGGGCAGGGGAGGGATGCGCTGAGTTTTGCCACCTGCAGGAAGGGGGTGCAGCAAGCTCTCTGCCTATGCAGAACCCTGTGGCACGCTTTTGCTCCCCTTCCAGCGTCTGATTCGGAAGGGGAGCAAGGAAGCCCTGACTTGCAGCAAAAAACTTTCGTGTCATCACTCCCCGTCATTGTGCATGACTCTCCTGCCTCTTTCAGGGGCATAGCACCTCTTCTGTAGGCTGATGGTCCTGGGTTCAAGCCTGGATGGATGAGCCCACGGAGCACGGCTGGGGAATCTTGACTGCCACAACCCACCAGGGTTGAGAAGCCGGACGTGGCAGGCTTCGCAGTCTAACTCGGCTTCGGGCAATTCACGGTGCGCCAAGCCTACTACACTGTCCGGGATACGATTGACTATCTTGCTGCATCAGGCAGTAGCTGAAACTCTTGAGAAAGCTGGTTGCTACTTCATTTGCCATCACATTTCTTTTTAATCCAGGGAGAGCTGACTTTTTGGGGAGGTGGGGTCTGACAAGCACCCCAAAGCGTGCCTGGGGAGGTGCCTCTTGTGCACAGAGGACTTCTGGGCTTTTAGAGCTGCTGTGATGGTGCCAACGGCTTTCTCCATTTCTCTCCAATGTGCCTAAAAGATCAGGCCCCTAATGAGCCCCCCCAGCTTCTCACAGGGGAAGCCTGGCAGTTACCACCCCTCTCCTTCGGGGATGAGCCCCAGGGACAGTGCAGGGGCCCCCTTTCCTTGGGAGTTCTTCTACGTCCGTCTGACCTGCCCACCTTGCTCCGCGCAGGACTTATGGCCGCTGCCAGCGAGCACCCATGTGGCTGCCAGCGGGGCCCAAACATGGAGCAGGGGAAGTGGTACGGCGTCCGATCCTACCTGCACCTTTTCTATGAGGATTGCGCCGGCGCCCGAATGGACGGTGACGATGCGGAGGAGGGCTCTGCCTCTCCAGCCAAGGGTGGCTGGACCCCCGTCTTCTGGAAGGTGAGAGTTTCAACCAGGAGCCAGGCACCCCTGCTTTTGTGCATGTTCTCTGAGCACGTACAGACTGCCTTCCCACAGCACAGTTACCTGGACCGCAGAAGGAACCCATTTAGGGAGTTGTAGAGTATGGTATCCTGGATCATCAGCCTAGAGAGCTGAGGTTGTACAATATGCTCAGCCCAGGAAGGATGAAACCAAGGTTAAGAGTAACCAGGTGTAATGTGGGGATGCAGCCATGAGGTTTTAACAGACCTGGTTAAGCATAGAGTTCTTCTGAGTATATATTGATTTTTTTCCCCTCCATCAGGAGCAATTCTTTTAAAAACAGTCTTAAGAACATGAGTTTCTGAGCATGTGCAGGGTATCTTTTAGAAGGAAGCTCCTTCTGAATGGCAGCACATTTCCCCGGCCTCTCTACCTGATCCCTTCCAATCTTCACATGCTTGCTGGGAAGGAAATTTTGGTCAAGAACACTTTATGTTGGGTGTGTCATGCACTCGCCTATCAAAGGTTGCTTGGCATTCGTGTCCTGCCCCCGTCTGCTCTGCCTGCAGCGAGGGCTGAGGACCCACAATGTGTCCCTTGTTTTCACTGCTTCTACCCCCACTCTTTCCCCTTAGCTTTGTATCCTATTTTCTAAGTCAGGGGCCCAGTGGGCAAAAATCCGACTCACTTGGCGAAGAGGCTGGGTTGGAGGCAAATCTATGCTTGAATGTAGAGGCTGCACGGGGCCTTTGAAAAACTCTGGGTCCAAAAGCTGATTTGCAGCCCCCTCCCCTTTCCGGTCACTTGCTCGCAACACATCTGGAGCAGCCTTGGTTAGCCTCTGGGAGGACTCTGGCGCCACCTGCAGGCAAGGAGTGGAGTCTTTGGGGGCTACCCAGAAGGATCGCCAGACTCCAGAGGTCGCGTCCCCCCAGCTATCCGTCATGCCCTTTGAGCACTCCCCAGCCTGTCCCCGGATGGTCAGCAGTGCAACGATCCTCTGGCATGGCTTTGGGTTTTGGACTCGTGCAGGGGAGCTGAACGAAGCCAGTGCATCTCTCGGCACACTCCGTGCCCGTAGGGAATCATTGTCCACCTCCTGGGAAAGGTCACAACTGTACTTTTCCAGTCTGTTTCTTCTTCGAGGGGTTCCGGCCTCTGGAATCCCCAAGACTGATTCATTCCTTGACCCAAGGAAGAGCTTCCTTCTCCCTCCAGCCAGGCCAGACATCCCAGCTGGGTTCCCGCAGGGTGCAAGTGGGATGGACACGGCCAGCGGGCAGAACGGTGGGCGCCCAAGGCCCTCTGGAATTCCCCACCAGACGTGTGGAAATTGAGATGGGGTGGAAGAGTTCTGCACCCTTCTCCAGGGGAGGGGGGAATTCGCCTCAAGTTTCTCAGGACTTCTGCTTAGCGGGGACAAGAATGCTTTTCTTCGGGACCAATTTCAGTGTGGGAGGACTTCAGACTGCTGGAGAGACGGTTGTGCACGGAAAGGCGGGCCCTTCACACACGCCCCTTGCCCCCTCGCCCCTCAGTGCTGTGTTCACACAACTCAGTCAGGTCACTGAAAGAGCGAATTGCTGCCTTTATGCAACACATTCAGCTTGGTTAGTGATAACCTTGATTTGTTTGGTTTTGGGCTTAGCCTGAGGTTCAAGCCCTGCTTGTTAAATTAGCTTATTATTATAAGAGCAGCGTGGTGTAGCAGTGAAGGCGCTGGCTAGAAACCGGGAGGCCGTGACTTCTAGCATGGAAGCCAGGTGGGTGACTTTGGGCCAGTCAGTCCCCCTTAGCCCTACCCACCTCACAGGGTTGTTGTTGTGGGGAAGATAGGAGGAGGGAGCATTATGTAGGCCTCCTTGAGTTGCACAGAATACATGCAGAATATAAATCTATTATTATTATTATTATTACTATTATTTGCACAGCAATGTGAAATCACAGCTGCCAGTTCTTTAGCTGGTGTTGGCCTCCATTTGCATCACGTTCTTCCCAAGAACCTACGATGTCGTAATGTATCGGCGTAGTCTACGTGCGGATCCAAGCAGGGTGGCCTTTTGCAAATGACCGATGGAAATTTTGTCAATGCGCAGATTTTCTGAATGCCGTCCAAGGTTTTTTGGTATGGCGCCCAGTGCACCGATAACCACTGGGACCACCGTGCCATAATCTTTCAACTCCGGTTTTCAGATCTTGATACGTTATGATCTTCTCCAGTTCTTTGTCTTCTATTCTACTGTCCCCTGGTATTGCCACATCAATGATCCATATTTTCTTCTTTTCAACCAGAGTTAAATCTGGTGTGTTATGCACCAAAACTTTATCAGTTTGTATTCAGAAACCCCACAGTATTTTAACCCGCTCATTTTCAACTACCTTTGCAACAATGTGTTCCCACCAATTTTTCACTACTGGCAGATTATAATTTTTACAGATGTTCCAGTGAATCATTTTGGCGACTGTGTTATATTGTTGTTTACAGTCAGTTTGTGCAATCTTCTTGCACGTGCTGACTCTATGATCTAATGTTTCTTCTGCTTCTTTGCACAATCTGCCCTTTGAATCATTTGATGATTTTTCAATTCTGGCCTTGATTGCGTTAATTTGAATAATAATAATAATAATAATTATTATTATTATTATTATCATCACCACCACCACCACCAAAAACTGGGTTGATTGTGCAACCAGTTTGTGCAAACTCAGCCTTTAAGTGCAAAAACTCCGCATTGTATCCAGCAGCATTTCAGCAAAATTTTCTTCCCCTTGGAAGAATATCTGAAGCCAATTGAATGAGAACCCGGTAGGAAAAAATGCAGAGGAATGTCTCTTCTCAGCACTGGGAAGACAGACCATGAGGAATTTCAAATTATGTTTCTGAGAAATGGGCTGAAGCCAGATCGGTAGCTTTCCCCCTTAACCTTGGTTTACCAACAGTTTTGTCTCTTGATAGGAGAAAAAGGAAAGGATAGGAAAGCCTTTTGCAATGTGTGCTCCTAGTGATACCTCGTTTTTTTCTATGCCTTCATATACAAATTTGTTGTACTGCTGAAATATCGCCCAGAAGAAAATATATACAGGTTGTGCATTTTATTTATTTATTTATTTATTTATTATTATTAATAATTAATAATAATAATAATAATTAATAAGGCAACTCTGGGTGGTGTACAACAAAGCTAAAAACAATTAATTGTTTTGAATTGATTGGGAACAATTGTTGCAGGTTAAGTACAGTCCAGGTGTGCAGCCTTCCCATCGTTTAGCTCAAGGGCATCCATGTAATGCCACTGCCATGTTGCCTTTTTTGACCTCCCTGGGGATGCCCCTGATTTGACTCTTGTTTTTCCTAACAAAAGGTCCATTTTATACAGCTATCGTCTGCCTGTTTATCCCCAGGTCAAGTCCCAGTTCCTCCGTTGCACTTACACTGAACTGAACAACTTTGCACTGAATTATGAGAGTCACACGGGATCTGGGTTGCTTTAAACGACACACAAAATCTAGGGCGGGATGGAGTTGTAACCCTTTTCGGAATTGGTTTGGACATGCTGAGCTTTTGAAATCCTCCTGGTTTGCATGGCAAACCGTTCTTCCGGACTTGCGCGCACGCGGACGCCGCCTCTCATTCTGCCTCTTCCTTTCAAGGTGACGCTTTCGGCCGGGACTCTGCTGTTGCTCACCGGGGCGGTGGCGCTAGCCACGGGGTACCTCCTGCCCCCCAAGTTGGAAGGAATTGGTGAAGCTGAGTTCGTGGTGCTGGAACAGCAGGCTGTCGAGTACAACCGTGCCCGGGGCATTTGCCAAGCTGTGGGGGTGGTGCTGTGCACCGTGGCTGGGGTGCTCCTGGGGGCCTGCGTTCTGTCCTGCGGGCTTGGCAGAATGAACCCAAGGGGCAATCAGGGCGAAGATGGCAAGGAAGAGCAGCTGTCCCCCATCTTGCAGGAGAATCCCCCCCAGCAATGGGGCACCATCATCTCTGCGACCCCCACCCCCTTCCGAGCCGCCTGGCTACAGAGCGTCCAGCCAAAGAGGGAGCTGTAGATTCACCTTAAACTCTTAACTCGCTACAGCCAGTACTTTCAAGCAAGTATTTGTTGCATAAAGCGTGACCCTCTTTGACCGCCAGGCCCAGCTGCCTGGTTTTTCCTGGCACTGGGAGGGGAAGGGTTCTCCGTAAAGTCCACGCGCACCCGGCATCGGGCCCAGCCCTGCAGGTGGAAAACTGTATTCCAACCCCAAAGGCAGCCACACTTTCCTTCTGACCGCCTCACTGGAGCATCCATGGTAGGACAAAGGGTGCCACCCCTCCCCAGGGCTCACAGGTAGATTGCTCTGCAACCTGGAGGTTCTAGTTCACCTGCCATACACAAGCATTACCAGGAGACCTTCCCCATCAGTGAGGAACAGGACAGAAACCGTGCAAAGAAAACGGAACGACATTTGAGGAAGCGATCGGGTATTTTCATTCTCAGAAGACAGGCACAATGAGATCCTGAGCTGAAAGGGTACCTTGCAGTCACTTACAAACTTCCCACATGTACAGAGGACGGGCTTTCAACTGTCTTTCAAACGTTTGAAACAAACAGGGAGCTGAAATCATGCTCCAGAAACTCAAACATTATTCTGAGTTGGATTTTTCAGTTCAGCCCTGCTAACAGCTGACCGATGATCGGTTGAGCATGGGGGGCGGGGTGGTCAGTGCTCTAAAGTGGGAGAAAGCACAAAATCTCCCTTTCTGCTGCCTCCCTGCATAGCCTCCTGCCCCCTGGGAGATACTGGCTGGTTGGGTCCTTTTTGAATAAGGGTTTAGTGGTCTTTCAGAAGAACGCTAAACCCGTATTCCAGAGGAGCCTAATCACTGACAAGGGGGGAGAGGGGGGTTGTGTGGTGCATCAGGAGAACCCCTCTTCCTTCCCTCTCCCCCCCAGTTCACCCCCCCCAAGATAAATCAGTCATTAGTTAAGCTGCTTCCCGTCCAAGGCACTGGTGCGAAGTCAGGAGTGATTTTTGGCAGACGGCTACCCCAGTCAGCCTAGCCGTAGGTCAAACCTGCCTTCCACCCCAGCTCCATCCCACGTTAAGGAGAGCGGGGAGGTTGGCCTCCTGGCTGGAGATGCTGGGTGGAAGGAGATGGAAACAAAGCCGGGGAATCCTTGGACCCCTTTCCTGAACTTGCCCTGCCCACAGTAAACAAGGCAGCATCATTTAACATCTTCATCGCCGGGGCTATAAAAGCAATCATCAAATAAAAGTCATCTTTCGCCCTTCGGCTGCCGCACTCCAAGGACAGCCTGATGTGTGCCAGCTCTGTTCTGCTTTGCCACCCTTTGCCTGGGACGGAGGTCAGGGCGCTGTTG